TTTAACGAATTTTTAAACAAATTTTACGGAGTAAAAATCTCGAGAAAATTATCCTACAAATTGTGATGTTACTGTAAGGATACTGTTTCAAGGAAAACAATGTGGAAAAAATTTGCAAAATAATTTTTTGTCCCGTATTTGGCTTTCATAAATATGGTCAGCGTAGTTATGGCCAAAGAAAAAAATCGGATGCAAGAATAAACGTTAACTCTTCTTCTATTTTGTGTAAAAATTTTATAGCTGTACCATTTACCAGCAGCTCACTAGAACAAAATATGTATTAATTTTTTACAATGGGGGTATATGTTAATCCAAAACTTCAAAGCCGTTTTTCTCGAATTTAAAGTTTGGTAAGTTATGACAGTATTGAAGTAAATGAGCGATAGGCTCTCAAATATATACACATATGTATTTTGTGTTAATCGCAACTTTCCATATCCTTATGAAAATATTAAAAACGTCTTTTAATAGCATATTTCCTGTTTTAAATGCCTTACAACACAAAAGGCGTTTCATTCTACTAAAGCATTTTCAAGCATTACAAACATACCTACATATTTCTTGCAAGGCATCTTTACATTCGTGAAACAAAGCAGAATAGCCACCCGCGATGTTGATTCTTTGCTGTCTCGCCATTGGCGAGTCGCCAACGACTAAAAGCTCAGTTAGTCTAGACTTAATTTCCGTAACTTAACTTAGTTCAATATTTTGAAACTGTGTTGGAAGTTATTTAAAACTTAACTTACCGTAAGAAACTTAATAACCTGTAGGTTTTAGATTCTTACGTTACGGTCTTACGGAAATTGAGAGCGGTGAGAGAATCAGGCTTGCCAGATTTTCGCTTTTGTAATTCTCAAAAATAAATGACCGCAATGCCCACCGACAACTTTTAAAATTGAAATAAAAATTTTTTCAAATGGGAGAATTTCCTTCTCAGTAAATAGAACATTTTAAGGCCATAAATTCGCCATGTGAGTTATTTTGGATCACCCCAATATATATATACAAGAATTACTCGTTTACAGTAATAAAAATAAGTGGAAAATTTCCCCCCCAAAAAAGTCTGGATTCGCCGCCGGGGCTGTGTTATTTTTGATTATGTACTTGGATGTGAAACAACACGTTTTCTAAAATGTGTTAAGGATATTTGCGCTCCAATGCAACGAACATACTTGTTTTAAGCCATCTTACAAATGCTTTTATCAAGATAAAAAATCCCCACACACAAATATTGCCACTGATATCTGGCAAACAAAATGACATATGGTAGGCAATAATTTTCGCCTGCGAAGACGCGTCGTTAGTTAGTTTTTTAGTATTGTAACGCCTAATACGGCTTTACTATGGCACCGGGAATTACTTTGTTCGATCCTCCAATTACGATCGTGAATTACCCCTTTCCCACGCGCACATTTTTAATTCGATTTGACAGTTCTCCATCTCTGTGTTTTTTTTGTCCTCTTCTACAAAATTTATGCAAAATGTGAGTAAGGGTATTCGGACTATCCTCGTTAATGTATTAGTTCGTTATCTGGTAACTCGGTAACACTTGAAACTTCGAACGCCCCTTTTCTTTTTCTGGTTAAAATTACTTTCGAATCAGCTGATGTGAAGTGATTTTACTTATAAACATTTATCAATTCCACGCCAGAAAGATTTATTGAACTTATGATAAAAGGTATACATTTGTCGCGCAAGAAAATTCCGGCAAATAAGTGACAGAAAGGAATCAGCTTACATTTTAACGCGTGTGTTACCACATTATCAGACTTGCTACCCCGTTAAGTTGGTAATGATATATTCGGTAATTTACAAAAACAAAAGAATGGTGCGAGTTACCGAATACCGAATTAAGACTTTAGCGATTATAGTCTGAAGACACTTAGTAATTGCTAAAAATTCGTGAGTTTCCCTATAAATTTGGTGATGTACACATGTATAAACTCAACTTTTCTTACTCAGAAGAAGTGCCAGTTTTTATCGGTGCACTGGTTTCGATAATTTTCCGATAAAAATTAGAGACGGCAGCGATTTGTTCGTAATTGGCATGGTAATTAGACCTGAATTACCAACAAATTAGGTAATTCGCTGTAAAAATTTAGTATGGCGAATTATGTAATTCGAAGGGTAATTGGAGTGCGAATTACGAATGAGAGAGCAAACTATGTAATTGGGGTGCCGTGGGAAAGCCGTATTAAATATTATTGATTATTACCATCTTAGGACCGATAACGAAAACACTTTGAAAACGATTTTTGGGATTGTGGGCTGAAAGCTGTTCGCACCGGCTGTTAGTGTTTTCGTTGACATTTCTTCAGTTGCAAAATCAAAATCTTTGCCTTTCATTTTCTTATCATTAGCAATCTCTTTCTTTTCTTCATATTTTAATTTGGCCAGCCAAAACATGTTTTCTTTGTCGGTTCGAACATGGTATAAGGCTAAAAGGCGTTTACACTGTTCAACTTCCATGGCGGATAGTTGAATTGAAAGTTTACATCATTTAACTGAAGGTTGAACAATATAAACTCCTTTTAAATACAATGATTTTGTACGATTATGAAATAATAATATTCTGAACGAAAGTTTTTGAAAATTTCTTCCCTGCTATAAAACTTGAAAAGGAGGACAAGGAGGACATTTTTGCTCAAAAGGAGGACAGAAAAGGACGGTTGGTAAGCTTATATATGTACATATGTATATGAGCATTCGGAGCAGCAGCAAACCTTAGCTAGAGAATAGTATCGATATTTACTTTGTATGGGATTGAAAAGCATTGAGTTCAAAAATTTTTGGTATCGCAACAAAAGTATCGAATATTTTCTTGTACTCACTGGTATCGATTGATCCCTAATGAAAGGGAATTAAAGTATGCTCTTTGTTGGGGCATTCTGTTATAAGGTAATATCTGGAATATTTCATTTTATTTTATACAGACACTTAAAACTAAAAACTTTTATATATAACGCAAGAAAAGAAGGCCCGAATTTCACACACAAAAATTGATCTATAAAGGTCGAAGTCAAAGTCAAAAACCCTTTATAATTTTACTTAGCTCATTCAATGCCCCCTTAATAGGGGCAAAATTTCATTAACTTAATTTTCAGGTCCAATATGGAAACGAAGGTGTTAACCTAATCGAGATGCTGAAGCTTATCTGTTCAATGAGAAGATGCCAATTAACAAGAGCATAAACAGTGTGATATACGTATAAATAAGCTCTAAACTCTACGTATTTGGCATATGGGAAATCTCCGGAGCAACGTTAAAAGAACCAACATTTTTAAATTGAACGCAAAAAAATAAATTATACTTACAATTATTTGAAATCCATTGAGGAAACAATAATTTTTTGTGGGATTCATTTTCTATAAATGCTAAAGGATAGTAAAAAACGGTAAATTTGGAAAATTCAAAGTTAGCGATATTTCCAGTGGGCGTTGTTTTTTCCGATTTCAAAAATCAGGCGCAACGTGTGTATAAAATTTTGTGTAGTTTGGTGCTGTGGTTTCCGAGATACACATATTTCCAAAAAAAATGTCCGACCAAATAATTTTCGCTAAGAGCCATTGTAAATCTAATTTTGAGTTAAGGTTCGAAATTCTTTAACCGCACTGCCCAAAGTTCTGAATTTTTGTACAGGTACATACATATGTCCTAGGAAGAAAACTGTCACGTGTAGATTTATAAAACTATAAATAGAAAGAACAAAATAAGCGTCCGTTCCGCGACCACCAAGTACCAACTTGAACACGCATCTATTCGGCTAAAGCAGTAGTTAAAGACACGTTCGGAAAAGTCATACTTAAACTCGTTCTAAAACTTTTTGTTTTGCTTTGGTGCTTGAAAAGCGCTTATGGTCTACACATTACATCGTGAATGAACCTAAGCACAGTCCATGTCCTAAGAAAGTAATGTGTCGCGTGTCGCTTTGAAAATGTATAAATACACTTAGAAAAAAGAATAAACTAATTTAAACAAAAACACATGATTTTGCGCCAAACAACCTTTTGTTTACTTTAAACTCACGATTGTGTACTTCACAGATGCTTTTCGTAATTAGAAAAAATGGAAAACAATAAAGATTATTTGTTCCGCGTGATAGATTTGAACCTGGACACTCCTGGCAGCAACCAATTGTAGCCAGCATCTCTGTGCACTCAGCCATAGCCACAACATGTAAGTGTTCTTTCAAATGTTCGCTAAATTACGCGACTAGTACATTTTTACAAATTTGTTTTTGCAATTTACACAGTGATGTTGTTTGGAAATCATTCTCTATAAAAATTTGTAGACAATACCATTCTGTGATCAGTCGAACAAACTTTTCCAACACACACAGTTTAACACACTCCCTCGTGAACAATTGTTCTCTACAGGGCTCATAGGAACGAATTTTCTATATGTATATATAAAAAAAGGGTGTATGTATGTATGTGTGTATGCATGTATCTATGCAGCCTATAGACTCCGAAACCACTCAGCTGATTTTGTTAAAATTTCCAGGATAGTTTTATAGAAACCCGGAGAGTGTTCCTGTTAAGTTTGGCTACTTTTGAAAGAGTTGCCACCTGTCAGAAAAATAACAATTTATTTAAATATGCAAGTAAAGTATTACGGTCTCGATATCAAATGAAAGGTGTTTGAAAAAGATATTTAAAAACACTTACACCAAAAAATATTTGAATAAGTGTTGCCACCTGGTCAAAAATAGAAAAATAATGACATAAATTTATTATTTTCTTATTGGAACCAAAACAATCAAAACCCAAAAAAATGTAATTTTAACACAACAATCTGAATGGTGAGTAAATAAACACAAATGGTTTTGTGTAATGTTTATTAAAAACACATATGTATGTATTTCAGTTCGATTACCTCCAAAACCAAGAAAGAGGAGACTGGCTTGGGCAGAGGATGGCGAAGTGGCCATTCTTGATTTGTGGCAATAGCGCGTTGCTGATCTCCGTGGTGCACGGAAGAATGGCCACATCTACGCGGAGATGGCGAACGAGCTGGCAAAGTGTGGCCACAACTACAGCGCCCGGGATGTGCAGGTGAAGTTGGCGAACTTCACGCAACGCTACAGGTAAGAAGAAATAAAGGAATAATATTCTAAACCACTAAAAATTTAATCCTTTAATAGAAAAGAGAAATTNGATGTGCAGGTGAAGTTGGCGAACTTCACGCAACGCTACAGGTAAGAAGAAATAAAGGAATAATATTCAAAACCACTAAAAATTTAATTCGTTAATAGAAAAGAGAAATTGGCTATGGGACCTTCTGGTGGATCACCCTCAACGTGGCCTTTATACGCAAGGGTGCACCAGATAATCGGTGGATTTAAGGCCAACATGTTTTGCGAGCTGACGCTTGAAAACATCAGCGGTATGTATGCGTTTTTGGAATGTGCCTTACTAAACGCCGTAATGTGTTTAGTGGAGACATTTGTTTTGTAGCAGAGTGACGCGTCTGTGTACATGCTAGAACAGCTCGTTTAGTTGCAGGTTTAAGTGCGAAGGTACACTTCGATTTTGCACGAGCACAGACATACGGTGGTGCTTCAAAACAAATGTTCCACTCAAAACTTAACCCATCCCCCCACAGACCCCTTGGGAGCTGTTTAAACATAGGAGAAATTGGGATTTTTTGCGAAAGGATTATAATCCTCACTAAGTACAATTATCCTTTCTGTGTTGCCGAAGAAGAGGGGCTGAACACCTTTTGTAGAGATAATTCGTTATACTTTTTGCGTTTGACAGCTCAGCCCGGTTTATTTTTTTTTATTCGGGTCTCGCGTTTTGCACATCAACCCAAAATTGATGTACAAATAACTAAACCGTTCCCTATCTTTTTAACTTCGATACAAGCACATATGCACATATGTATTTATTTAATGCTGATTTTATTTATTTCATTCTTATTTGTGTTTTTTTTTTCTTTTAAACAGAAGCCGACATAGCATCCCAGCCATCACCACTGACCCCAGTATTGCCGTCATCACTCAGCCCAACATTTTCGTCACCACTGGCATCACCTCTTCCTGCTGTGCCAACCACACCGCTGCCTACACCGTCACCGCCGCTGTCATCACCTCTCACTCGTCTGCCAACCACACCGTCACCGCCGCTATCATCGCCAATGCCTAGCAGCTCAGCTTCTGCGGTTGAGCCTAAAAGAAAGAAAACAATGGGCACTTTACAGAAGAAAATATTAGAAAAATTTGATGGGTTGTCAGCGGAGATAAGCCAACATATTCAGAGGAGTGAGGAAAATGAAAAAGAGTGGATGAAGATAGAAAAAGGCAAAGCTGACACACTGAGGGAGATAGCCATGGATAACAAGGAGTTAAAAGTTGGCATTTTATCATTTTTAAATAGAAATTAATAAAATTGTACAGCACTCGGCTGGCTATTGGACCAAACCAACTTTTTTTACAGAGATTGAGTCATAAGTAAAAAAAAGTTAGTTCTCCGTTTTTCGAAGTTAGCCTTCGAAATCGAGATATGGGCCTTCGAAGTTCGAAATTAGACCTTTGGTAAAAAATTATTTTTAATTATTGCATGTAAAACGCAAAAAAAAGTAAAAATGCAGACATGGTCCGCCTTTTGCTCTCATTTATATGGTATATAATTTTTTTGTGAAAACTTATATTACAGGTGCTATACCGGGTCAAAGGTCAGATCTTCGAAAAATGAAAAACTTAATATTTCAGACAATTTTGAACCGATTTTAAAAAGATTTACATCGTTGTAAAATTTATTAAATGCGCTATCTTTAGATATGCATATTTGTATACTTCGTATATAAAAATTTTAGAAAAAACATATTTAAATGAAAAAATACCTTTTTTTATAAAAAAAAAATTTAACAAAAAAATGACTAACCGATATTTAAACAATTGGTATCGTTGTAAAGGTGATTGAATCCCCTTTCTTCTGATATGCATATTTCTAGAAATCGGTTAGTAATTTTTTTGTTTAAAATATGTTTTTTTAATAAAAAAAGGTATTTTTTCATTTAAATGTGTTTTTTCTAAAAGTTTTATATACGATGTATACAAATATGCATATCGAAAGAAAGCGGATTTAATCACCTTTACAACAGTATATTTTCTTTTTAAATCAGTTCAAAATTGTTTGCAATATAAGGAAATTAATTTTTCGAAGACCTGAACTTTGACCCCTTATAGCACCTGTAATATAGGTCTGCACAAAAAAATTTATATACCATTTAAATTAAAGGTGGACTGCGCCTATATTTTTAGGTTTTTAGTTATTTACATACATGCAATAATTTAATATAATTTTTTACCAAAGGTCCTATTTCGAACTTCGAAGGCCCATATCTCGATTTCGGAGGTTAATTTCGAAAAACGGAAAAATCATTTTTTTGCCTATGACTCAAGTGCAGTTATTAACTAACAAAAAGTATATACAGTGCCTCAACCCAATGACCACGTGTTGATTTTTTTTTTTTTAATATTAGTAATGTTTTTCGAGCTAAATTTCTTTTGTTATTTATCTATAAAAATACCGTCCAAGCTTTAACCAAAACCTTAAAAATCACTTGGGGGGATTCACAACGGTGTCGTTAGTGTCGTATTGTTGTATGTCGTAAACTTTAAACGCCTAAGAAATATATCAAAAGGATTCGCAAAGTACCATCAAAGTCATATTATGCATTTTCGCACTGTTAAAAAATAGTTGGTTGTGGGTTTAACTTCTCTAAGCATTTATTTAAGCTTTTAAAGTTTACAACAATATGACACTTACGACACCGTTGTGAATACCCCAAGTGATTTTTAAGGTTTTGGTTAAAGCTTGGACGGTATTTTTATAGATAAATAACAAAAGAAATTTAGCTCTAAAAACATTACTAATATTTAAAACAAACAACACGAGGTCATTTGGTTGATTCACTGTAAATAAAAAATAAATGAAAATGAATTAAATGAACAAATAAAAATTGTACTCACTAAAATAATTGCATAGTCCTTGCCTTATTTCTTCAGCTGAGGGTTGATTGTCTCCAACTATAGTAACATATTCAGGATTTTCGAGATTTCTGTTCACTTCTTGCAATCTCTCCAACCACATGTCATTTATAGTGTCGTTCATTTCATTTAAATAATTGCGCAAGACGCAGCAGGCTCTAATAATGATGGGTGCCTTCCCAATACGGTTGTCTAAACCTTTTCCAACACGACGGAATCGTCCTTTCAAGTGGTCAAATGCATTCTCAACTACTCTTCTGCACTTTGAAAGCTTATAATTATAGAGTTTTTGTGTTTCAGTTAAGGCCGTTGAAAACGCGTATGGCTTCATTAAGGAGGTGGAAAACCGAAACGCAGAATCTCCAATAATGCATATAGGCATTTGTACTCCACCTATTTCTTTCTTACTGACCTTCAGTAATTCGTTCTCCTCCATTACTCGCTTCATTAACGATGCATTATATATCTGCGAATCATTGCATCGTCCAGGAGCACCAATGTTCACATATAAAAACCGATATCTGAACATATATAGAAATAATTAATACATGCTTTTTAGAAAAAAAAAACAACAGGATAAAAGTTAAATAACCTACAGCTAGTAGAACAATAGAATACCATCCTTTATAGTTGTGGTAGTCGGTTGCATCGGCTGGATTCGGCCTAACTTCGATGTGGCACCCATCTGAATATATACATATGTATGTACGTACATCTTTGTTTTTATATAAATTAGTTGCATTTTTAACTTTCTTACCAATTGCTCCAAGGCATTGGGGAAAGCCGAGACGGTCAAAACCATCAACACAGTCTTTTAAAGTTTGTGGAGTCGGTGGTAATTTTTTTATGTATTGCGCTGACAAAGCTTGCCAGACTTCCTCGCAAAACTCCCACAAGATTGTGCACACGGTCGAAATTCCAACACCAAATAGTTCGGAAACCACTCTGTACTCCCCAGACGATCCCAGCGTAAATAGAGCTATCGCAACGCGATTTGCAATGGAATCGCGTTGCGCCAGTTTGTGTCGGCTTTGTGCAGGTTTTTGAGGAAACCACAGAGTGTTTCGAAACTAGTGCGGTTCATGCGGAAGTGCGTCTTAAAGAAATGGTCATCGTTGCAATTGCAATTAACTTCCCAGAAAGAAGACTGCCGATTCTGTAATAGAGGTAGTATCATTTATAAAAGCACAAGAACTGATTACTTATAATTTGATTTACCAATTCCCAGAGGGATCTCTGAGTAGCGTTCCTCTGCAGTAGCCCGTAAAGCAATAGCTGCTGTCTTCGCAAATGTTGCAAAATTATGAAGTTTTTTTCTTTTCTCTTTTTATATAAGGCCATTGAACTTGCGTAGCTAGCCAGCACTGACTGCAAAACTTGTATATTTGCAGTATACGCAAGAAAAAGTTCGCTTAAACACTTATTGTTTTCCATTTTACCAATTTATTGTAAATAAACAAAAATTCTTTTAAGACAGCTGACAGCAACTCGTTAATCGAGCAGCTGATTGTGTGTGAAACACAAACATCGAATACTTAATTAAAAACTTAATTGACTCAATTAATTTTCTGTCTGAAAACAGTATTACCGTGAATGATATATTGAATTAGTTTGCTAAATATGCGAAAATCGATAAACAATGTCTTGTATGCTATATGCTGATCAAAAAGGGTGCACACTTAAAGGACTTCAAAAATATTAATTTTAAGTTGGGCGTTTCTGAGGGTTATTATGATACGCAGCTACGCCATTCAGTTGTTTTCAAAAAAGCGGCTAAATATATATTTCCAAAATGTGTCTGGCCTAAGGACCAAATCTAAACAAATCTTTAATATGAGCGCTCATCTGGATTATGACATTTTCGTACTGATCGAGACTTTGTTGAACGATGACTTCTGTGAGAATGAATTTTTTGACTTCAATCTGTATAAGACAGGACTCGCTAGAGGTGGAGGGGTTCTAATCGCCGTTCAACGGCGGTACTCCTCATCGCTTGTGCTATTAGATAATATGGATTACCTTCTGGATCAACCTTGCGTTTTGGTACATGGCAGCTCTGATATCTTTATCTGTGCGTCTTATAATCCTCCAGCCAGTGCTGATATTCTGTATAAAGCGCACGTGGATAATGTAGTGGCTTTAGTCTCTAAGCATGTTTGCAGTAATTTCTGCATTCTAGGAGATTTTAATCTATGCAGCATAGGATGTCGTATATTGACGCCGGTTTTGCGTTATGTCTGGTAAACATTACTAGCTTCTCTGAGTCTTACCTAGTAGATTCTTTCTAAGTATTGATCTCATTCAGGTAAACAGTTATTCAAATAGGCTTGGCAGAATTCTGGATCTTATCTTCCTCATTGATAACATTAACTTTTCTTTAGATGAATGCTTAGACCCATTGTCAATTTCCGGTTTTCATCGCGTTTCGCTTATCCTGCAGTTAGAGTTTTATAATTTTAATAGGCAAAGTACTTGCCAATCAACTAGTTTTTGCTTTAAGTGTTGTACTTTTGACACTGTAAATAGTGAGATTTCTTCCACAGACTTGGTCTCAATATTTGAAGGAGTCGGCGTGGCGGAATGCTTTGCCATCTTTAAAATAAAGACAAGTGAAAAATGTACTAATAACATACCGCTTATAAAACCAAGTCCTTATAAAATTCCCTGGTATACCAAGGAACTAAAGAGGCTTACAAATTTGAGAAACAGGTTTTTTTAAACTTAAGTCGTCAAACCCTCTTGCTTACAAGGATAAATATCTACGCTATTCTAGTGAATTTAAAGCGTTGAGTAAGAATCTTCAAAGAAACTATATTCGTAAATTCGAATGCTATATTAAACAAAACCCCAAAGCTTTCTGAAGTCTTCTATAGCGAAAACCATGCGTCCACCTCCCAGGATGCTGCTAATCTCTTTGCATACTTCTTCTGTTCTAATTTTGAACCAGCACCACCACCATGTTAGTTCTCCAATTATTTTTGGCTCACTCTCTCTATATCTTAATGACGTAGAGAATGGCATATTGCAGATAAAATCGACTTCGCAAACTGATTTAGATGGTTTATCCTCTATTCTTTTAATAATAATCCCAACGGTTTTTTGCCGCCCATCCACCCGAGGGGCGCTGTCCGGATGACGTACGGAACCAATATTTTAAATTTTTGTGCCGAGTCACGATAGGCAGGAGTTTGTTAAGTGTCGAGATCTAAAACTGTTCAGCTACAGAACTAAATTCATCAGCTGATTTTATGTCTTTATGTTAATGATTCATTTATTGAGAGAGGATAATATCACTTTCTTAATGCTGAAAAGCGAATCAGATATATCAAATGTGCTGGAATGAGAGTCAAAATCCTGGCACAAGCAACGGAATAGCTCTTGCAATTCAAAATTAGCTTTACAAGTTTTCAAAAATAGGGGATAAAAGTGTCTTGATACACGGGAGGGAACATTAAGGCTAACTTAAGCCAGAAGAAGCGGGCTTTAAACAGAGCCTGTTAGTAATTTAACCATAACAAGTAAGAAAGTCTAAGTTCGGGTGGAGCCGAACATTAAATACCCGGCGCAAGTATTAAATATATGTTTTTTCACCTTTTCGAAAGCTACCGCTAGATGGTAAGCCGGGGTGTATCCATTTTGAGTAAATTGGCGTCCTTAAATTTCGAAATATTGCAGTTTCAAGCATTTCTGAAATTAACCATTATATGAAAAGCGGTCGTAATTTTAGTCCGATTTCAATAATTTTCAACGTTTTGTTTCTATGTGGCAAGCACAATAAAAATACCGAGTTTGGTACAAATTTGTAGAACGGTTACCGATATACATATATGTGATCATAAGTGGGCGGTGTCACGCCCATTTTCCAAAATTTTACCANGCTTAATCGATTTCTTTTTTCATTCTGATCATTTATGTATACATTTGTCTATATCTATCTCGATTCGTTTTGGCTGTTACATACAACCGTTATGTGAACAAAATTAATATACCCTTGTGCACAAGTGCGCTCGGGTATAAAAATTGTACCACGCATTTCGCTGCGACTGACAAGTTTAGGAAGTTTAATAAGCTTTNTCAGTAATTTAACCATAAAAATTATACCAAGCATTTCCCTGCGACTGGCAAGTGTAGGAAGGTTAATAAGTTTTAAGCGACTCGTATAAGGTGGAAGACTATATTGAGAATCCCATCGGAAATTTCTTAAAGCAAAAAGTAGGAATTGTTTGTGAATTGATTCTATCTTATCTGAGTAAATTTGATACCTTGGATTCCTAACCACCGAACCGTATTCCAGAATCAGTCTAACTAATGTTGTAAACAGGGTTTTAATGATATAAGGGCCACTAAATTCTTTTGACCATAGTTTCGCAAATGCAAGTACACCTTTAGCCTTGTTGACTGTCACATTAATGTGAAGATTAAAATTGAGCTTAGGATCCATTGTGATACCAAGGTCCACAAAATTGTATACCTGTTCCAAATTATGGTTATCTATTGTATAAGAAAGTGGCTGAACAGCTCTTTGCGAGAAGCACATTACTTTACATTTTTCCAGATTTAGAGGCATACGATTTACATAGCACCAGTTAGCCATGCTGTTTAAGTCTGCTTGTAGCAAATGCCTTTCTTTGATTGATACGTACGATTTATAAAGTTTCACATCATCTGCGTACATTAAAATTTTGAAAATTGTATATCGTTTATAAAAAGCAAGAACAGAATCGGGCCTAGGTGGCTACCTTGCGGGACTCCTGAAGTAACATCAATGACGTCAGAAATTGTATTTTTAAATATAACCCTTTGTGATCTATCACAGAGGTATGAAGAGTTCCACCGTAGAAATTTAGGTTGAAGACAAGAAGATCAAGCTTATAGATGAGCAACGAGTGACATACTTTGTGAAATGTTTTACTGAAGTCGGTATATATAACATCCACATTTTTGTTTTCACTAAACGCTTTTGAGATATAGGTTGTGATTTCAAGTAAATTTGTTGATGTTAATTTGCCTTTGCAAAACCCATGTTGACAGAATGAAATGGTAGATTTGATAGAATGCGTCAACTGATTTGTAACAATTGCTTCAAATAATTTAGGAATTGCAGAGATCTTAGCTATGCCCCGATAGTTCTCCACCGAGGACCTGCTACCGCTTCTATGTAGCGGAGTTATGAGCGATTCCTTCCATAAGGTTGGAAAGATGCCTTCTTTAAGAGACAAATTAAATAAGGCTGTTAACGACTCATAGAGATAATCAGCACAATTTATGAGAAAACAAGTGGGGATCTGGTCAGGACCATAACTAAAAGACTGCTTTAAGGATTTCAGGTAAACTAATCATCATCGGGAGATATTATTGGGGTATGTATT